AAAATGGATTTGATAGTCCCTGTATGAAGATTACGGATTAATTTCCTAGCACAACACAAAGGATCCAGTGAGTGGTACTGACGACAATGATGACTTCTTCCGGGATCCAGCTCCCACACTGCCCTCCTTCCTTCCTCAGTCTGGTCATGGTGATGGACATTGCTTCTCAAACCCTCCCTGCCTTCTGATACACTTGTGCTTTTCCTTGTGCTGGTCCTTTTGCCTGTCCCTCCATTTGTGTTTATTAATATTTATTTATTCTTTAAAAAAGGGCTCATGGTAGCATCATCCTCTATGGGGTAGGCCTGGTGAGTCCCCTCTCTGGTTTCAGAAGGGTCACTCTTTCTTTCCATCCTCATCGATCGCTTGCCGTTCTCCCAAGCTTTCTCTGCATCTTCCCTTTCTGATTTCCTCCTGTCCTTTCTCACAGTCTGAGGAGGCCCCACTGGTAGGCTTTCGAAGGACTCACTATCGTGGGGAGGGGGTATGGGAATTTCTTTCGATCTCGACGTTCCGTTTTCCTCACAATCCTGGGAGCTACGCTGTCCCTGTTTACAGATGAGAAAAGGAGGTCTTCGGAAGGAGGGGACCGTGGTCAAGTTCCCAGAACTAGCAAGACCAAACCTGGGCCGCTGACTCTGTCGTGGCTGTGAGAAGTGAGAATGGAGAAGTGAGAAGAGGAAGCAAGATGATAAAATGAGGAGACGCAGGTCTGGGAGAGAAAGAAGGGAGAGGCGGGCAGCCCGGGAGGTAGCGCACGGGAGGCAGCAAGAGTTGGCGAGGAAGGTGGAGAACCAGAAACCAGCAGGCAACCCAGGAGGGTCAAAGGAAAAGCATGGAGGGCATGAGTGTGCCGCTTTAGAACGCTGTGGCTGAGCCATGGTTGCATGCCTAACAGACTAGAAAGAGGCTTCTGTTGGCATGCCAACCGACAATAAACTTAACCCGACCTACATGATACAGGAACTAGAGTAATTTATTGTGGAGGCATGGTAATGAATTGTCATTGCTAAGCCGTTTATAAATCTGGCCGGGTCAACCATCACTTCACACACATACACACACGTTTGTTTTCACTTCTACTTTCGTCCCCTACCTACGAACAAGGTGGCTGTTGAATGAGATACCAAATATGATCAGAATGATTTCTATACCTGCCCATGCCATGGAGGTGCCTCCGAAGGAAGAGCTGCTGACTCATTTTGAGAACAAGAAAAGCCAACTATTGGCAGTGGTAGAGAGCACAGTGCTGTGCTGACACAGGGCGTGTTGTCATGGCAATCGGCCTGCTTACCCACATCCCACCCAAAGGGGCACCCTCGAAGGACAGAGATTCAGGCTTGTTCCTTAGCATTCATCCCTTCTTTGTGATTGGTCACACTTCTCAGGCCTCAGAGTTTCTTGTCCAACCACATTTTCTTTCCCGGGGCCTGAGCACCGTGCTATTCCACCTGCTACTCAGGGTCCTGTGTCCAGGGCCTCAGGTAATGTTCTTGGTCTGGTAGGCAGGATTGTCAGAGTACAAGATCACCACATCCACAGGGAGAGGACTCACTGAGGCCCTGTGATCCAGCCTCTTGGAATCCAGTAGCTGGGGGCAAAGAGGCCCAGGATTAGGGACAGAGAAGATAAAAAGCCGTGGGAGCAGAGAAGGGGCCTTGTCCCCTGAGCCTGCCATCCCAGCTTTCCATCCTCAGAGCTCTCACAGCTCAAACAGGTAGATTTTCAAGACTTAAGTCCATACTGATGCTTTCCAGGGAGCCCATCCCTCCTCCTCTTGTTGAGTTTGCAGAAAAAAGGTAGGTTGAGTTGGGAAGCAAATGCATCAGCAAGACCTTTCAAAAACAGTGAGGGAAACAGAAGCCAAAAGCTGAGAGGTTAAAAAGTAACGAGGGAGAGGGTTGGAAGAGAAGAGATCGACTAGGGAGGAGGAGAGTTTTCCAGAATGCATTTTATGAACGCCCATATTTGACCCCATGACAGCTCGGGCCTTCTTCTCTCCTTTTTACCTATTTACAGATGGAGCCTTAGGAAGGCCAAAGTGACTCGCCTAAGTGATAGGAAATAAAAAGGACTCAGTACAGATTTAAATGATATTATCCTACTTCTCTCCTCCCAAGAGGAGACTGCTTCCCAACAGCAAAACAGTCTGAGGATGAAGAGAGTAGAGAAGGTAGTCTGGAAGAACACTAGAGGCAGACATTCCTCATGTCAGATGAGGTCTTGAGTTGGGGTCCTTGAAGATGCATTGACTCTTCTCTTCCTGTGCCCAGCTTGGCCTGCATGGAGAGAACCCACTGCTCAAAGGAACCAGAGGATCCCCCAGTGGAGAACTCCTTTCTTCTAAACTCTGCCATGGGAGTTGGGGCAAGGAGGTCCCCACCTGGGCCGGGCTCTGGGCAAGGAGGAGCATTCCCAGGAATCTACTCCCCTGGCTTTTGTTGCTCTATTCCCAACTTCTCTGGATGCTTCTTTTTCCCATTTCTTTTCCACTCTCCTCCAGTTCCTTTGCTTCATATTTTCTTTAAAACAAAAACCCATTTTATTAGATACCTCATATTTTCAATCTCATTGTTTCTGTCCCCGCCTCCTTCCAGAACTTCCACACTCCATCTCAAACATGCCTTCTTTGACGTCTCAGAGACAATTTGCTCTTACCTTCAAGACATCTTGAAACAGTTATATTCCATATCATTCTAATATATATATATATATATTTAAATCATTTTGTTGGGGGCTTGTACAACTCTTATCACAATCCATC